GCCCCAATTCAATTTCTTGAATTAAATTATAAGCACACACATGTGATGCTTTGAAGTGAATAAGGTGTATAGGAAATATAATGTTGATTTTCCCACATCTTATACAAGATCTTATACAACTTTTGAGAATGTTCTGCTGTCGGCCATGTTTCAGTGCAAATCAAAAGAAAAAAAATCTTATGTTCTTAACCCATATTTTTCATCTCCAATTTGCACATTTTTATCTCCATAAGGTGTGCTTCATTCACTGTGCACTGCCTAAATAAGGAAGTATAGGGCAAAATCTTGTTAATGCAGACGTAAAGTTATGTCCATGTAAATGTGCCAGGTGCAGTGCCTGGCAATAAGAAATTGAGCAATTTGATTGAGCAATCAGTTGTGTGATTCCCATTGCAACCATTGTGCTATGCACCATCATGAACAGCATTTTCATCTCAGCACTTTTGTAGCTACAACGGTTGAAAATCAGTGTTTCACTGCTGTACATGTATATGCAAAAGAATCTTGCCCAATGGATGTTACTTTTAAGACTAACAAATTGATTACATTGTGAGTCTTCATAGGTAATATGTACAGTATAGTTTATTCAGTAGCCAATTATAAACACAGGGAATACATGTCAATCATCAGATTTAGGCATAGATCTTGGTGCATATAGTTAATTTGAAGAAAGTGAGAGGGACAAGGGGAGCTAACAATTCTTCAGTATCTGACAGTAGTAATAGCAGATTCAAAAGGGAAGACAGCAATTCTAAAGTACACATTAGCAAAACAGGAAACCTCCATGTGATCAGTTAAAAACTGGGTAACTCAGTGGTTTAGGTGCACTGTGTCTTTTTGACCGGGGTTGGACTCGATGACCCATAGGCTCTGCAGTTCTAAGATGATGTTGATAATAGATCATGGCAGAAAAGAAACAACAAGATTATGAAGAGTGCACAGCACAACTAATTTTTTCATTAGTATTATTATTTTTCTATGCAAGACCAAATCCAAGAATATGCAGCAGATGAAACATGATAAGTGAGGCCACAGGTTGTGGTAAAAAAATCCCTTTATGTGCCTCTCCCATCATTTGCTTCCTCCTATAAATAAACTCTCACGTATAAGGAGAGTACTAGATGAGCACACAATAAGGCATTCCACAAGAGACTTTTATTGTACAATGTCCTTACTTCATTCAGAGCATTTGGAGTTGCCATTTTCCAACCTGTGTATTCCCATCATTTTCCACCTGCATATTCCCATCAATTCCCTAGGTATTTTTTTTTAAATAGACAATTTGTTAGATCGAGGATGAGATTTTTTTGACCCAAAGAGCTGAGAGCTGTCTGGCTAGAATTATCCTAAATGGGCAAAACTGTTTACAATTATAGTTGTATGCAGTCATGATTCAGCTGATGCAATGATTCAAATGAATGCACCCTATTCCAAATGTTAATTTACCCCCACAAGACTGTGACTGTTCGTAACTTGGGGATTCTGATTTACATTCTACACACATAGCTGCAAACTATTTGAACAATGTTTAAGAAGGATATTTTATATTAAGCTTTTCCCCCCATTTGCAGTGGCATGGTTGTGTTCAAGAAAGAATAAGGCATACCCCAAGCATATGAAAACAAATGGATCTCAAGAAGATTATGTAATGTCCAAAGACTAATTTATAATTCACGCAGCAGCAGTAGTGCATGGGAGCAAACTAAAATACTGAACAAGCTTTTGAAACTACAGTGGTGCCTTGAGTTACGAACTTAATTCGTTCCAGAAGATGGTTGTAACTTGAAAAGGTCGTAAGTTGAAGCACCATTTCCCATAGGAATGCATTGAAACGCGATTAATCCATTCCAGCCGTTTTTGGTCGTATCTCAAGGTGTCAGTCGCAAGTTGAAGCATTCGTTCCCATGGGAACTAATGGAAAAGTGGTTAATCCGTCCACTCCCCATTAGAGGGAGACTTTTTTTTTAACCTAAGATGACTTAGGTTAAAAAAAGGGCAGGAAAGGAGGGAGGGAGAGAACAATGGGGAAAAGAGGAACGAAAGGTCATCACTGGGCACACAGACCCCTCAGACAAAAATGCGTTCTTTTAAGCGCAAAATGAGAGGATAGAAATAGAAAAGACAATGGGAGGGAGAGACTTTAGAGCCACACATTTTAAACCAACACCTTTTAAAACAAAAGAGAGGTCACAGTACGCAAACCCTAAGAACTACAGAATACAAAAAAAAAAAAACCACCCTTCTAGCAGGGACTAAAAATGCTAGAACTACACACTGCAAGACCCATCAGAGCATAGAAACATAAACCCCCCAGCCCATGCCCACGCTGCAAAAACCCTGTACATACAGTACTCACCCAGAACAGACATTCTCTCTGCTTTAAAAAAGAAAGACAAAAAGCAAAAATCCAAAAAAGCAAACATTTTAAAAAACAAAAATGCCTCCCCAAAGAAATACTGTACAGTACAGTCCGAGGCAGTCTGAACCCCTACTCTAACCGCTGGAGCAAAAGAGCTACGGAGAAGCAGCCTCTTCTTTGACCAATGGTTAACTGAAAGCAGTTGAAATTCCCCGTTTTCCCCACCTTTTTTCTGTTTGTAACTTGAAGCGCTGGTCGCAAGCCAAAGTAAAATTTTGTGGCCAGATCTGGTTGTAACTCAAATTTTGTCGTTATGTCGAGGACATTCGTAAGTCAAGGCAAAGGCGATTGCAAAAACATCAACGTAAAGCAGATTCGTCGTAGAGCGGGGTAATCGTCCAGCGGGACACGACTGTACCTGATATAATAAATTAATGAATAAAATGCCAAGTCGCCACAGGACACATTAGAGTGGAAAAAAGGGATTCCTCTTGGAAACCAATTAAACCAAAGGATTATTTGAACCTGTTTCTAGAACTCACAGTACTGTCTGAGACAGCCAACAGAAGTAAAGAAAAACATAATCACACCTTATATTAGCAAGTTGCAGATGTATCTGATTATTAGAGGACATATTGTTTGTACTATAAAAACATATATTTTTAAAAAGCTTTAGCCATTCTGGTTTTAGCTATCCACTTTATCCAACTAGAGAATCTAAGGTCAATCTGATGAATGGTTAGATTCAATCTCTGGCATGGCAGACAAGAATGTTGGTAGTTTTTTGGGGTTCATGTCCATTACAAAAAAAAAAATCCATAAAATTGCCAAAGCACCAGTAGTGGAAAACTGGTAACTTGGAAGTGTGCTATTTTTTGAGTTTTTAGCCTGTCCTAATTTTCAAGTTTGTCATAAATGTGTTTCAGCAAAAACACAAAATTAAGCAAAAGTAACTCACTGTTCCTATCTTTCTTGCTTTATTTTCTATACCGAGGTAAGATGTCATATCTTGAAAATAACAGTAGGCTTATTAGGACATTACCTCTCAGTGGCTAAATCTGTTATTTAAGAAAGGAAAAGAGAAATCTTTCAAAAGAGAGAGAGAGAGAGAGAGCATATGATGAATGAAGAAATTACCTACCATAACAGTATAAAGAGTATATTACATACTGCCCAAACAGTACAATGTGTATGAACCAGTATGAGTGGAAAGAGTGTTGGACTAGGAGATCTAAATTGAAATCACTTCTGAGCCATGGAAAGTTACTGGGGGTATGGGGAAGGAATGGGAGTGGTAAACTGCTCCTTGAAGACCTCAGATACCTCAAAAACCATTAGGGTGGCCATGGGTTTGAAGTGATTTGAGAGCATGTAACACCAAAACCCCCACTGGTCCCATCACCTCCTGGCAAACAGAAGGAGAAGATATGGAGGGAGTGACAGAGTTTACCTTCTTGGGCTCCATGATCACTGCAGATGGTGACAGCAGCCACTAAATTAAAAGTCGCCTGCTTCTTGGGAGGAAAGTGATGACAAGCCTAGACAGCATCTTAAAAAACAGAGACATCATCTTGCTGACAAAAGTCTGAATAGTCAAAGCTATGGTTCTTCCTGTAGTGATGTACAGAAGTGAGAGCTGGACCATAAAGAAGGTAGACCACTGAAAAACTGATGCTTTTGAATTGTGGTGCTGGAGGAGACTCTCCTGGACTGCCAGGAGAACAAACCTATCCATTTTGTAGGAAATCCACCCTGAGTGCTCACTGGAAGGACAGTTCCTGAAGCTGAGGCTCCAATATTTTGTCCATCCCATGAGAAGACTCCCTGGAAAAGCCCCTGATGTTGGGAAAGTGTGAAGGCAAGAGGTGGACGACAGAGAACAAGATGGTTGGACTTACCAAACTCTGGAAGGCAGTGGAAGACAGGAGGTCCTGGTATGCTCTGGTCCATGGGGTCATGAAGAGTCGGCTCATTCCTGTCCATTTTAGTTCACTGACACCCAGGATGCCGATGTTTATTCTTGCCATCTCCTGTTTGACCACCTCCACCTTCCCAAGGTTCATACATTCCGGGTTCCTATGCAGTATTTTTCTTTGCAGCATTGGACTTTCCTTTCACTTCCAGACACGTCCACAGCTGAGTGTCCTTTCGGCTTTGGCCCAACCACTTCATTAGCTGTAGAGCTACTTGTCCTTGTCCTCTGCTCTTCCTCAGTAACATGTTGCATGCCTTCCGACCTGAGGGGTCCATCTTCCAGAGTCATATCTTTTAGCCTTTTGTTTCTCTTGGGCTATTCTTGGCAAAGATACTGGAGTGGCTTGCCAATTCCTACTCCAGGTGGACTGTGTTTAGTCAAAACTCTCCACTGCGATCTGTCTGTCTTGGGTGTCCCTGCATGGAATAGCCCAAAGCTTCTCTGAGTTACTCAAGGCCCTTTGACAAGACAAGGCAGCAATCCATGAAGGAGATGCTTCTGCTAAGGCTTCCTAAAATAGCATTGCATTTGCCTTTTTTGTAGCCACATCACACTGTTGGCTCATGTTCAGCTTGTGATATATGGTGATTCCAAGGTCCTTCTCGCTCATAGTATTGCTGAAACAGGTACCTCTCATCTTGTAACTGTATATTTGATTTCTTTTTCCAAGGTGCAGTACTTTACATTCATCCCTGTAAATTTCATTCTATTGTTTTCAGCCCAGTGCTCAAGCCTATTTAGATCATTTTGAATTTTGTTTCTGTCTTCCAGGGAATTAGCTATTCCACCCAATTTTGTGTCATCTGCAAATCTGATCAGCATTCCCTGCACCCCCTGATCCAGGTCATTAATAAAAATGCTGACCATCACTGGGCCTAGGACTGAGCTCTGGAATACCCCACTTGTTACTTTCACACAGTTTGAAAAGGAGCCATTAATCATCACGTTCTGAGTATGATTCTGTAACCAACTGTGTATCTACCTGACAGTTGTTCTATCTAGCCCACACCTAGTTAACATGCTAATCAGAATATCATTTGTAATGCTTCATCAAGCAGGGGGTTGGATTTGATGGCCTTATAGGCCCATTCCAACTTCATTATTCTATGATTCTGTGATTCTATAATCATGGGGGACTTTGTCAAAAGTGTTGTGGAAGTCAAGATATACTATGTCTGCAGCATTCCCTCTATCAGGAGGATAACTGATCAAAAATGAGATCAGATTAGTCTGGCAGGATTTGTTCTTGGCAAAGCCATGTTGGCTTCTAGTTATTACCACACTGTTTTCTTGGTGCTTGCATAGTGACCGCTTTATAATCTGTTCCAGAATTTTCTCTGGAACGGATTATATAGTTCCTCGCAGGCAAACCTCTTAGGGGCAACATACGAGGTAGAAAAACAATTCCAACAGTTCTGTGAATATAAGATCTCGACCTCTGTATAGGAATAGTAGGCATTTGTCAGATTTTTATAAGTACTGTACACCTTTTCTGTTTTCATAATTAGTTGTATGGAAAATGTCTTTGGCTCCATGTTCATTCACTGGATGAAATAACAGAGAAGCAGTTAATTAGCACTATGCCTGACCTAGTTCCTAGACATCAACGCATCAGACATATGTCTGCATTTATATGTTATTGTAACTAATGAGCATTTTATTGTAATGAGGTTCTTGACTTTTCTTTTTTTTCTTTGAGTTACCTTTAGTTCCCCCCCCCGAACGTTCATTGTGTACCATAATGTAGTGTGCGCTGCTCATTGAACAGTGTTTGAAAGGATGTGGTTATGGTTTCTCACATCAGAAAGGAAGCTAGCTAAACAGCACCGCCTGGATCACAGATGGAAAGATAAGGCACCTACTCTTCTTTTTTGTGAAAGTCCACCATGTCTTGTCTTGTTATTTCTCTTTTCTACATTTCTGTGTAGAATTCTGGTATTGGGGCAGGTGCCTTTCTGTCCTGGAGTGGGACCATTACATGCTGAACAATGAACAACGGTGTTCTACTTGAAGAAGAACTGATCAAAAAGTCCCAGCAAAAGAGAAGGACCTCCCCCTCCAACTTTAAAGTGCGATTCTTTGTTTTAACGAAATCAAAGCTGGCATATTTTGAACAACGTCCTGGGGTATGTGCATTTATGCCCACATCTTTTTCAAAATTTATTTGCAAAGGATAAAGGATATAGGGGTGAAGCTGGGTGGAATGTTGTCTCTTTTTCAAACCAAGCCAAGCCTTTCTATAACTGATTTCTATACATGCAGAAATCAGATTGCGATTACTTTTATTCATTTCAGCATGTGATGTAGTTCATAGTCCCTGACTGTCTTTATGCCTTGAGTATATTTGTAGTAGGTGTAAACCAGCACTTTCTCCTATTCATTTTAGTAGCTTTTTTAATGTTACAATAATGCTTGTTACATTCCAAGAAAATTGTTTCATAATGGCAGTAAAAGCAGATCTTCATTTTTATTGTTCCCATTGTATGGCTTTCATTTATAATATGCCAAGAAAGCCAGGCAGATTGAGAACTGAGAATATATTGAGAATACTACATGTGGTTTGCTAATGGCACCAGAATCCTCAAACTGCAAGCTGAAAGTTTTGTCAGGGCCCTTTGTTTTCTTTGGCTTTGACAAAAAGGAAATTGAGCCTGGTCCCATAGAGCAATTGGGGGCATCTGACTTCCATACTCTTGAAGCACACATTTGCACACAATGTAATTACCCTAAAACACACAGACCTTATACAGACAAAATCTAATTGTTGAGACAGCAGTACTGTGCCAGGGATTAGGATGTACTCAGATAGAAATTGAATGGTTCATCTCAAATCTTGAAAATCACTAGCCATGCTTTTATTTGGGCAGTTTTTCAAGCTTTAATGTCTTATTTTTCTAAGATACCACAGTGGGGGGGGGGGAATCACAACTTTTCTGCATTTATTTATAAATGTTGGTAAGGCCAATGCATGGGCTACCTTCTTAAAAGTATGATATTCTTCCTAATCTCTTGTCTTTCTTTTCAAGGAGTTTGATGGTCATTGTTGAATTCCATTGTAATGGGTGTTACCTCTTTTCTGGTTTAATATTTTGTTTAGCTTGTTTTTGAAATTGGTTTGGTTATTTTGCAGCTGTATTAACCTCTGAGCACTCTTGGAAAACTTTTGTAAAGGCAGTTGATTCTAGACAAGAACTTCAGATCACATTGATAGGATTACGTTGTCATATCTTGACCACAAGTATCAGCTGTTTCCCTTCGTATCTCCAGCAGAAGCAGGAGAAAAAGCAGACATGGCTCTTCAAACCCTTCCTTTTGCAGCCTGTTGTTTGTCCTCTTCCCTTAACAACCTATGCAACACAACTAGATACAGTACCTGTTCATCGCAGCAAATAGAGGGTAGTGGATGGGATAATGAAGGAAGTGTAGAAAGGGAAGAACAGTGACTCTTCCTTTTGTTTCAAGTGATTAAACCCCCAGTGCCCAGAATAAGAGATGACAATCCCAGCTAGGTTGATGTCATTAAGTTATCACTATGCTTGTCCATTTAGTTCTTCAGATTGGAGAGATTCAGAAAATAATTGACTGAATATCAAGGTCACCGTTATCGCAGCCATGAGTTGCTCTTATTGTTATTAATCAAAAAGGTATCGTGTGGCTCCTTCACCTTTCTTTCCTTTTTCTTTTTTTTTTCTTTTTCTTTTTTGTGGTGGGGGAAAAATCTTAAAGAAATGGTAGAGAAAAACACAAGAGGCTTACAAGTGGAAAATGATGACCTCTGGATGGCCTTACTGAAATTCAGTAAATGAGGCCGGGTGACTTCACAATGAAAACCTCATATAAAAGGTCAAGGGTTTCTAAGAAAAGGCTTCCTGAAGTTTGGAAATTAACCATGGCATTGGGTCAGACATGAGGTGAAGCAAAATTGCTGCTTTTTCTCTTGCTGCCCCAAGCTCTAAACGAGGCAGACAAGAGCACTTTTGATAGCACTTTTCAAGTACTTGAAGGGTAGTAATACTGAAGAGAGCCAGGATCTGTTCTTCATCATCCCAGAGTGTATGACAGGGCTCAAGATACAAGATTTAGGTTAAATATGGGGAAAAACTTCTTAACTGTCTTAACAATCCACACTTGCTGCAAACTGACCAAACAGTAGCTCTCCAATCTGTACCAGAATAATAGAACCCCCTGATGGGTTCAGAAAAGTGCTGAACCAATTACTCGGGAAACGATGACCGCTCCAGCTTTGGAGGAATTCAAGACAAAATTAGACCACCATCTGTCAGATCTGCTCTGATTTGGATTCCTGCACTGATCAGGGAGTTGGGCCTGATGCCCTTATAGATGCCTTCCAATTCTATGATTCTAAGAGAGGGCATCCGGATGAGGTCTCCATCATGCTGGTGTCCAGAGAACAACGCCTTTGACTTGTAATTGTGTTATACTTTCTCACTGTTTCTTCCATCTTTTTCCTCCCCTAACATTTGTTATGTAGAGAAACATGGAATAGCTATGCAGCGCCTTGATCAGTCCTCCATTTGAAAGTATGTGAATTAGAGCCTGCCATCACCTGCAAATATGCTTTAGGCTTGCATCATTTGTGTTGTAGTAGAGTTACTCTTTATTATACAATGAGAGAGAGAGAGAGAGAAACACGCACAGAGAGAGATGTTTTGGCCTTGCACACAGTTGGAAGTTGAGGGTGGATGATACCTTTGTTAAACCATTGGAAATCTCACAGGTTTCAATTCAACAAAGGTCTTTGTCAGGCTAGGTATTACAGGTAGGGGTGCGTGCGTGCGTGCGTGCGTGCGTGCGCGTGCATACACTTGCACCACAGTCAGCTCCACATCAGATTCTGCAGCCTCTATTTTGAAACTTGTTTTAAACAAGTAGCCCGTTCTGCACATCTGGCCATAGATTTTGGAACTTCTGTGATTTTTCCGTACCACTCACTGCTCTGTAATGGCCAGCCTGATGAAGATCTATGCAGAATCAAAAGTTAGCTTCCCTGTGTGACATTTTAATGATCTTGTAAATGTACCACCCAGCCTTCTATGTTCTATGTTTCAGTGCTAGCAAGTAATGGACCCTGTTGATGAAAATTCATGTGCAGCAAAAATCATGTGGTGTTAAATCCAGAAAAACTTAAAAATGGAATGTTCCATCAGGGTCCAAAGTGAGCACATCTCTGCAAATGTTCTAAATTGTATGCCTGTGCTGTGTATATCTGACAGAAAATTATACCACTACATGTCAGAGATTTATAATTTTATATTTTAAAAATATAAGAAGCTGGATTCTTGAATCTAAAACAAATCGGATGTAGGGGATCTGTGATAAGATGTACCAGGATTTAAATGTAAAAATAGATATAGAATGAGGACCAAATGAGATTAAGCAAGAGAACTGACAGAAGTTTTTCTCGACCTTTTCGCTTGCGTTGTTTTCCATATATAAGGGTCAGATCACACACTGCGGCAAATATTTTTTACTCTTACAATGTTATCCCATCAGTCAAGAAAATCTTTCAGTGTTACATGCGTAAGACATCAGACATATAAACAAAGCCCTGCTATGTCTAATTATTGACCAAGTACAAAACAAAATCATGCTAATTTGCCAAATATGGATTGAAGCAAGCTGATGTTAGAAGTGGACAATCTTTTTCTGTATTGTCTAGTTTGTCCCTCAAACTGTCCAAAGCCATGTACTTCAGTTTAGAAAGTATGCAGTGTATTTTCTTTTATGAGTGTAAGAGAAGTTACATAACAGAAGAAATTATTTAGAACCAAATCATGTCACAAAAAACACATTTCTTTAAAAAGGTAAAAAGGAGGCTGAGCCTTGGAGGAAAGCCACATGGGCATTTGTTCCACTGTTTGGTGCACTGGTGGATTGGATTGATCTGCGCCCCCCCCCTTTTTTTTGGCCTCCACCCATGAATATTGCTGGACCAATTTGTTCCAATCTGCACTTTTCTGAACCCATCAGGGGGTTCTATTATTCTGGTACAGATTGGAGAGCTACTGTTTGGTCAGTTCGCAGCAAATGTGGATGTTTGGAATGGATTAAACTCGAGCCTTGATGCTCCTTCCACTGTCAATTTCCAATATTCTGATGCTTCAGGATATCGGAAATTGAACACTTCCCCTGATCGTCTACGGAGGGTTGGGGAATTTTATTTTATTTTTTACATCTCCTAAATCGTCCCAGATGTGATGAATCATTTCATTTCATTTTAAAAAAAATTTCCTGTCTGCAGGCAGTTTCTCAATTGGCAATACGCAGACAGGAAAGGAAAAAAAATATTTAAATGAAATGATCCATTGCATCAGCGATGATCTAGCAGGTGTTAGAAAAAGTAATTTCACTTCCCCTGACCCTCTGCAGATTATCAGGATAGCGGATCAGGCCACAAAGGGTAATTTGCTGTTCAGGTGGGAAGAGCAAGCCAAATGGCATATCACTCCTCCCCCTGACCTCAACTGACCCTTTGTAGCCCAATCCAGCCTTCACCAAAATGGCCAGTCTGGACAGGCACTTACCTTCTGCTGCTGCTTTTGATGATGTTATTTAGATTAAGTGGTTTTATGGAATTATTTTTTATCTTTTATTTCTCTCATAGTTCAAGTTATCCCAAGAATGTATGTTGCTGGGCAGCATACACATGTCAAATGCCAGTTTGATGTTAAAGAAGATAGTTGTAGGAACTGACTCTAGAACATGCTTCTGATTCAGATCATGGTTCTATGCTGAACCTCTTCTGAATCCCCACTCAGGATGCCTTCCTCCCCCCCTCCCCCGCCCAAAATGTTGTGTATATGTATGTGTGTCTGAACATATATCCCTCCAGCAGTAATCCAGTCTGGGACTACCCCATCATTGATTTTATGAGGCGACATTAAAATCTTGGGAAATCTCATCACAGATGTCCTCTGTCATGTCTCTTTTGGTGTATAGGTAGTGTGAACCTATATTATTCTCCTTTGTTTTCTATTAGTGATAGGAACTTTTAGAGGTTATTAATTTATAGGTCAAAATAACTAGGAAGGTACATAACAACAAGAGTACAGTTGTGGATAGTTACTTCGAAAATTACTTCTTTGGACTTCAGTTCCCACAGTCT